GTTTACTCAGACGACATCCTTATCTTCACCGAATCAAAAGAGGAACATGTCAATCTAGTCAAAGCGGTTTTAAAGAAACTGCAAGCCACCCACCTATATGCCAAACTATCAAAATGCAAATTCCACCAGGAAAGAATAGACTACCTAAGTTATTGCAAATCCCCACATGAAAATGGACCCAGAGAAAGTCAGATCAGTATTAGAATGGGCACCACCTCGCACAAGAAAGCAACTGCAAAGTTTCCTGGGTTTTCAAACTTTTACCGCCAATTCATTCCCTCATTTACCCAGATAACCCTGCCCCTCATGAACTTACTAAATACGAAGGGAGCATCCCCAGTAAAACCTAGCCAGCTATTAAAATGGACAATGGAGTGCCAAGCAGCGTTTGAGAGATTAAACAGACTCTTTACTGCCAAACCAGTACTGAGGCACCCAGACATGGATAAGCCCTTCGTAATACAGGCGGATGCAAGTGATGTGGCAGTGGGGGCTGTATTATTACAAGAAAACGATGAAGGGGTATTGCAACTCTGTGCGTATACATCCAAGAAACTCATGGAAACAGAACAGCGCTGGCCCGTGTGGGAGAAAGAGGCATATGGGATATGTTGGTCATTACTCATGTGGCGCCAGTTTCTTGAAGGCAATAAAGTCCCTTTCCAGGTGTGGACAGACCACAAAAATTTGGAAGCCTTGAAAACACCCACAAGCTCAACCCTAAGCATCATGTCAGAGCCCCGAAGCTATTAAAGAAGTTTCATACAGAGTATCCTAACAAGCCAGACTAACTTTTATACCTGTTTTGTTTTCTTTACAGGTGGATCTCTCTTATTTTTAAGGGGGGGCAGGATGTCAGAATCCAATTATATTTCCTTTCTATCTATCTTCTCTGATATAAAACCAATTCTTACTTTCTTCTGGATTCTGTCATACTACAGAAGGGGAGGAGAGTAAGCATGGGGATTTTATGACTCCCATTTCCTTCATTAACTACAAAGTGACTGGGTGTTGATTCTCTTTGAAAGGACTAACCGTAACAATGCGGCCATCGCCTTTCATCCTATTTTCTCAGAAGTTCTCCTCTTTGCCGGCAGTGAGGGAAAAGGGGGGAAATGTAACATCTGGGATCTGGGAAAAGAGAGGATGAGTGATCGTGCCGACGGAGCGGACTGATGGATTGAATCGCCTGGAAGAACTGTGGGATGGGGGCTGCTTGGGAACACTTTAAAACATTGAATGGTGGGAGAGGATTCCCCAGATCTTATCTAGCATGCCTGCAATCAGTTTTTCTTAATAAAGATTTCTGTTGAAAGAGTTCTGTCTTCTTAAGATGTAAAACTGAGGTGGGTCCTTACACTTAGCTTACTTTTAGGATGAATTAGTATATTCACTTGATAATAAATTCTTATTAACATTGATATCCAAAACATAAATAATCAGTTTTGACAAAAATATCAATAAAAAATGAAATTCAGTAAGAATCTCCTTAGCTGAAGGGATTCTGTGAGATCCCAACACCAGAGCTTATCTTTCAGGAGGCTCAGAGAAGAAGCAAAAGTTCAGCAAACTGAACTTGTTTATTAGTTAAAACTGATTTTTTAAACAAGGAAAAGTATCTCCTTATTCCTATTTCTACAATAAATTCAATATTAGTAAAACTTGTAATGATGATTTGTATTTTAGTATATACTGAAAGATTATAGTTATAGGTGCATATACATACAATTTTCATCCACGTGGTTTTGCTCAGGTCTTACTCTGTTGAACAAAGAACTTAGAAGATTTTTGAAAACTCTGTATCTGAATGAGGTTACTACTGCTTGATTGCAAATTCTTCAGAAATTATTTCAGTATTATAAGTAACTTTGTGTAAACAACTAGAAATATCAGATTAAATATTTTTTCATATTTATAACTTTTCTATAAGAATAAATCTGTCAATTTTCATTTCCAAAGTCTTCAAAAGAATAACTGTTTAATTACGTACTAGTGCAGTTATATTGACTGAAAATGACATGTAACCCATATGCAAAAAGGCAGTTTATCTTTCTCTGTCTTTTGACAGACTTTCAAGATGTTGCTTATTTCCCATGCTCCATCTATTTCTTAAATCAACTTCAGAAATTCCAGTTACAATTGGAGGAATTGGCAAATGGGATCAGGCTGGTTCTCAATCTGTCGACTATGGTCACCACTAGCTCTAATTGGTTGTTCCCCTGCTTCTTATCCTTCCTGTCTAGAAATAACTAGTCTTGCATCCTGGCTCTTGTATGGATTAGTTTACCAGTGTCTGAAGTTATAATACCATTTTATATTGTGCCAGTGAGAATACCCTTACAATACTGTATTCAGTTCTGGTCACCATGATACAAAAAAGATGCAGAAAAGTGCAGAGAAAAGCAACAAAGATGAGGGGTCTAAAGACTAAACCATAGAAAGAACAGTTAAGGCAACTAGGTATGTCCAACCTATCAAAGAGAAGGATTAGAGTCACATGTTAGCTGTTTCCAGTACTTGAGAAGCTGTCACAGAGAAGAGGGGGTCAACTTTCCTTAGAGAGATCCAGCTCCTTAGAGAGATCCAACCTTGAGTTAAGGAAAAATTTCCTGACAGTAAGATCAATTCATCAAGTATGCCTCCTGAAATCGTGGGTGCTCCATTGCTGCAGATTTTCATGAATAGACAGAACAACCATCCAGTTTGCATCATGGTGTTGCAACCGATAGGAAATGGGGCTCCACTTCCCACGGTTGATTTTGTCCTGCCAGGCATCTCTAAATGTGTCTAAAGTCACCTCGGAGAGGTGATGAACAAGGAGGGGACTCTCATAGATCACAGAAAGATGGCAGTTGATCCAAGTGATCCAAGGAAAGCTCTCCAAACTGGCAGGAGAAAGGCTAGCTGCATCTCTGTGGCTAGCCCTAGCCATCAACAACCGAACAAAGAAAGCACCAGCATTACCAGCATTTTAAACAAGGTGCATGGAACTGGGTGAGAATATTAATTCTTTCTCTACTACTTCGATACTAGACTCCCTGGATAAGACAAACTCCCATAAAGCAAGAAATTCCCAAGTGTGAGAAGGAAGGGGATTTTGCCCCACCCTTCCAGAGAAATAAAAGCAGCGGGTGAATTTTTCTTGGGGACAAAAACAAAGAAGAATGCAATGCCAAAGTGGAAGTACTACAAAGACAAGCTGTGTGTTGACAAACTGTAGAACTGAGAAAACTGTTAAGGGTTTTCTCTTTGGAAAGAATATTGGGATGAAATTCAAGAAACTTTAAAATGGAAATAACTGTTTGCTTTAAGCATTGGAAAATGGATATCTGAGGACATTTAGTGGTGGGATACAGGTACAGCATCAAGCTTGTTGTGGCTAGGGTGGATCTGGCACAATGTCCAGACATAGATAAATATCTAGCTTCTTTGATCTTCAGTCAAGCTTTTACCTCAACAGAGAACAGCTGGCAACAGAGAAAAATATTTTGGGTTATTCTTTGCTTGGTGGAAGTAATAACTGTTTTGAAATTTGCTGACTATCTTGCATTACAAACATCGACTGAACTTTAACCTTTGATTTTCTGCCTCTTGGTTATTTTTTACCGGGAGGTGGGACTAAAGGATTGACTGTAAGGAGGTTGGACCTTTTGGATTACAAGCATTGGTTGACTGAATCGTTTGGATTCCTGGACAGAAAAGTTGTGACAAAATGCCCCTTGTTGATGGTGGAACTATATTTTGGAACTTATTGGATTACAAAGGCTACACATAAAGATTATAAGAACTATATGAGATGATTTTAAATCTAAATCTAAATTTAAGTTGTATATTATTGTATTGATTATAAGATTGGTCCTGTTAAACAAGACTAGCACCTGGCAAAAATGAGTGCTCTACACTTAGCTAAAAGTGGTTAAAAAACACCCCAAGTATCTGCCTCTGAAGCCCCCAATCTGGTACACCAGAGACAAAGAACTGATAACTTCCAGAAGGAAATGCAATTTATATTGCAATCAATTCAAAAGGCAAGTGAGTCATAAAAAAAAATACTCAAGAAAAAACCATGAAAAAACTAAAGAGAATTTGAATAAAATAAAATAAAAACCTAGGGAATCCCCAGAAAATGACTACAAAGAACAAACAAGGAACCAAGAAAGTAGAAAATAGAATAGAAGAAACTGATCCAAAGACAGAGAATATAAAGGAAGGAAACTACAGACTGGCACAGACAAAAGAAAAATACTGAAGACTTAGAGAATACTGAAAATGGGAAAGGCACACCATCCCTCAAGATCTCAGAATATACTCGAAAATAAGGAAGAAGAAGAAGAAGAAGCATTAGAAACTGGGTAACAAGAGAAAAAGAGAAGCTGAGGGAGGAGGAAAGTTGGAACTTTTCAATGAATATGACTGGGTTGAACTCCCCCTCAGAAATACCTTACTTAAATGGTCTTCCCCACTACAAAGAGTACCCATAAAAACAGAGGAAACATTATTTGATGATTTAAATACACAGATTTGGAAACCTATCTGGCAAAGGAAGAAAGCTAGAGTTAGGCTAAAGAAAATAGAGGACTTGATCCACTGGCTGGGGCCCTATATTATAAAATAGATGTTTGAATATGGCTAGAAACAGATAACCTTTAGATATTAAAATATTATCATATTTAGAAAGATATGATTTATATTTAGGATGGTGTACTTTTCTATGAGATGGGAAACATGAAAACAACAGGATGGCTCTCAATAAGGGAAGCTTTTATTCACCTTAATGTAATTACTGTTGAGAAAATCATAATTTATGAAGATATTTTGAACACTGAAGGGAAAACAAAATACCTTGTTTTCCCAACTCCTATTTCCAGTTGTAAGGTTAAATAAAATTTCTAAGGCTCAAGATAGTTGACTCTCATTTGACACAATCTTCTATTCTGAACAGATTCCAACAATTCAGACAGTGAAAAGGTAATTCAAATAAACATTTTCCCAGAATTTACCAGTAGTCTGTAATGATGCTGTATCAGCAGTATCTGAAATCTGAATGCTTTCTTCCACTTTGAATTTATGACTGTTTAAACCTTCTTTTTCTTTCAATAATTTATCTAAATGTTGCTTCAATATATCCTAAGTTAGGGGAGAAAGGAAAGCATATGAATACAGTTAATTTTGTGGCTCATTAGAAAAATAAGCTGAAAATGAAAAAGAATCAAGTTTAACAGAAATAAATGAAAAAGTCTTCACTTAGGAAACAAAATTCAAATAAACATATTGTGCCTACTTTGCACTTCAGCCCAATGAGACAAAGGAAACTAGCTCTACATTGATTGGCTGCCACTGCTGTCTTTCTGCCCCAATCCCTGAAACCACTCATTCAAACCAGCCACCCAGCAGTAAGCAGAAGGCATCGGTGGTGCTGCCCAAGCTGGGACTAAACAAGGCCTGCACAGACGCTGGCCTTGTGGCAGGAAAGTATATACAAATATAATTGGCAGGCTATATACAAATATAATTGGCAGGCTATATTACATTTGTAATGTGAAGATTACCTACACAAATTTAGTCCTAGCTTGAGAATGCTCCAACACTGAAAGTTTTAAAGAAGAGACTGGATAGCCATTTGTCTGAAATGGTGTAGGGTTTCTGCCTGAGCAGGGGGTTGGACTCGATGATCTCCAAGGTCCCTTCCAACCTTATTATTATTGTTATTATTGTTGTTGTTGTTGTTGTTATTACTGTTGTTGTTTTGTTGTTGTTATTATTATTAAGTTCCCAAGCTAGTTTAACAACTGAATAGGGAAGTTTAGACTACTCAGGTTCTGAAAGGTACTTTAAGGAAAGAGAGAAACTCTTGATTTATGAATTCCCAAAAGTTACTTATGACCCAATTTTAAAGTTATGGCTGTTGCAGTACTCCTGCTGTCATGTTGCATAAAATTCAGGCAGATTGCCTAACAACTAACTGCAGAGGCCTTGCTGTGCTCCCATCTATCTCCACACCAATCCTGTCCTGTGGGTCCCTACAGACTTTGGGCGTGCTTGCCTGCCCCACCCACTCACTTACTTTCTAAAGATCTCCAGAGCTGTGGATCTTGTATTGGAGAAAGAGAGCAAGTTGCCTTGCCCCATTGCATCTCTAAGCTGCAAGAGCACAGCCCATTCTCATGCGTTCTTCAAAGCCTCAGAAAATTGCACAAGAATAGAGGATGCTGTTATGGGTTTTTGAAGACTGCAGCATTCTCCAAAGCTATTTCAAGAACAAGGACCTTGTATGACCCACAGTAGCCTGTTAACAGAAAGAGACCAACACCTGAAGATAAGAGGCAGATTGGAGAAGCAATGTAGTGCTTCATCACAGGGGCAATTGTGCCTTAGGAATAAGCACAAGGTGGCTTTTTTGAATGGTAATGGTGGCACTAGGGCTGAAGTCAAGGACTTTAAAGCTGCCATTTACTGCTGCTGTTTAGGATGGCCTAGATGCAGGGAGGGGGAGAGAAAGATAGAGACTTCTTCCACACAACTGCCCACCTTGAACCATCATCTTAGTCCCTAGGGAATGGACCTACTTCCATCTTTGCACAAAGCTTCTGATAATTCTACTGACTTGTTATTTCTAAGAATTTGATTGTGCCTTCTTGTAATCAATTCATGCTACATTCAAGTTGGTTGTAAGGACCCACCCCACTTTGCATCTTAAGAAGACAGAACTCTTGGAATAGTTCTTCCAACAGGAATCCTTTATTAAGAGAAAATGGTTGCAGGCATGCTAGACAGGACTTGGGGTCCAAGCTCTCCCATTCAAGGTTTTAAGGGGTTCCCCAGTAGTCCCACCCAATCAACCCCCCTTCCCAGTGATAGTTTCAAGTATCACAATTCCACCCCGTTTCTTCTTTCTTCCGTCTGGATGGAGACTTCAGATAACTACATGAAAGGCAAATACTCTTCTTTGTTAATGCTAATGTTCTCTGGTGTTAACGCTTTGAGGTTACAATAGGTTACAATAAACACACATTCAGCATTCAGCTCTTTGAAGTCTACTGAAGGAAGTGAGGGCCATAAAGCCCTTTTGTTCTCCCCCTTCTCTCCCTCTTATGGCAGAATCCAAAGAAGGCAGAATTGGGAGTTTCTATATTTGATAATTAAAGATGAAATATGATTGGATTCTGACATCCGGCCCCTCTTAAAAATAAGAGAGATCCACCTGAAAGAAAACACAAGTATAAAATTTAGTTAGGCTTGTTAGGATACTCTGTGTGAAACTTCTTCAATAGCTTTGGGGCTCTGACGTGACGTTTAAGGACCCACTCATTTTGTGAGGCAGGGAGGTGTTTCCAGGCAACTAGGTACTGAGTTGTTCCATGATATCTCCTAGAGTCAAGGATCTCTTTTATTTCGAAGTGTTGTTCCCCCTCCACCATGATTGGAGGTGGTGGGGGGGGGATTTTTGGCCGTAGAGGTGACTGATGCTCTCTTTTCAGCAGGCTGCAATGAAAAACTGGGTGTATTTGCCTGAGGTTTTTGGGTAATTCTAATTCTACTGTTACTGGATTTATGATCCTTTTAATTGGAAAAGGTCCTATATATTTTGGTCCAAGTTTTTTACAGGGCTGTAGGGACTTTAGGTATTTTGTAGATAAGTACACCATTTCTCCTATAATGAATGGTGTAGGCTCAACCCTTTTTTTATCGGCTTGTGCTTTGTATGCCCGCCTAGCTTCATCTAGTGATTTTCTGACTATTGGCCAGGTGTTTTGTAGGTTTTCCATCCATTCTTTCAGTGAAGGGATCGTTGGTTCTTTTGGGGTTAACTCTGGCATAGGGTTGAAACTTTGACCGTTGGCTATTTGAAAAGGAGTGTAGCCTGTGCTGGAGTGGACTGCATTATTGTAGGCAACTTCTGCAAAAGGAAGTAAGTCCGTCCAATCACTCTGTTGGAAATTTAAAAAACATCTCAAATATTGCTCAAGTACCGACTGGCACCGTTCCGCTTGTCCATCTCCTTGAGGGTGGTGGCTAGATGTCAATCCCTGAGTGGTCCCTAAGAGGGATAAAAATTCCTTCCAAAATGCAGACGTAAATTGCACTCCCCTATCAGAGATGATGCGTTGGGGTGCCCCGTGCAATCTGTAAATGTGCTGGATGAAAAGTTTTGCTAAGGCCTTTGCAGTGGGAATTTTTTGGCAAGGGATAAAGTGCACCTGTTTGGAAAATAGGTCCGTGACTGTCCAGATAACAGTATTCCCATTGCTTTCAGGCAATTCCACTATAAAATCCATGGCTATTTCCCTCCAGGGGGCTGAGGGACTTGCCACTGGTTGTAACAGCCCTGGCGATTTCCCTTGCAACCTCTTTGCTGATGCACAGGTTGGGCAGCTGGCAACATAACTTTCTATGTCCTTTTTTATTGATGGCCACCAAAATTGCCGTTTAATTAAGTGTAAAGTTTTTACAAATCCAAAATGCCCTGCTGATTTTGTGTCATGGCAAAGTTGCATGAAAGTTAGTCTTTGAGTTGTTGGTATATATAACTTTTCCCCTACCCAAGGCAATCCGTCTCTCATTGTGCACACATGTTTGTTTTTCTGGAACCAATCATCTGTTTCCAAACTTTTTCTGAATTCAATCCCAGTTTGGCTGTCCAGTTGTGGTTTTATTTTGGCTTGGGTTCTTGTGGTTACTGGTGCTGCCAGTTGTGACTCTGCCATTATTGGTCTAGAGTCTGTGGTTCGTGCGCTGTTATATTGGGGCATGCGAGATAGTGCATCTGCCAGGAAGTTCTTTCTTCCTGGTAAATGTTTGAGCTTAAATTGGAATTGGTGAAAATGCTGGGACCAGCGGGCTTGTTTGGGATTGAGTTTCCTGGAAGTTTTCAGGGCTTCCAAATTTTTGTGATCAGTCCACACCTGGAAGGGGATTTTGTTGCCTTCCAGGAACTGTCGCCATGTGAGTAATGCCCAACGTATCCCATAAGCCTCCTTCTCCCATACGGGCCAGCGCTGTTCTGTTTCCGTGAGTTTCTTGGATGTATATGCACAGGGTTGCAATACTGCATCATCATTTTCTTGTAATAGCACAGCCCCCACTGCCACATCACTTGCATCTGCCTGTATTATGAAGGGCTTGTCCATGTCTGGGTGCCTTAGTACTGGTTCGGCAGAAAAAAGTCTCTTTAGTCTCTCAAACGCTGCTTGGCACTCCATTGTCCATGTTAGTGGCTGGCTAGGTTTTACTGAGGATGTTCCCTTCGTTTTTAGTAAGTTGGTGAGGGGCAAGGCTATCTGTGCAAATGAGGGGATGAATTGGCGGTAAAAATTTGCAAAGCCCAGGAAACTTTGTAGTTGCTTTCTTGTGCGGGGTGGTGCCCATTCTAATACTGCTCTGACCTTCTCTGGGTCCATTTCAATGCCCTGTGGGGATATGCGATAGCCTAGGTAGTCTATCCTTTCCTGGTGGAATTCGCATTTTGAGAGTTTGGCATATAGGTGAGCGGCTCGCAGCTTCTTTAAAACCGCTCTGACAAGTTTGACGTGTTCTTCTTTTGTTTCGGTAAAGATAAGAATGTCGTCCAAGTAAACAAGGACCCCCTTAAACAGGTGCTCCCTTAGAACGTCATTGATTAATTGCATAAAGACTGCAGGGCCCCCTTGTAATCCAAATGGCAAGACTTTGAATTGATAGCACCCCATGGGGCAGTTAAATGCAGTCTTCCATTCGTCCCCTTCCTTGATTCTCACTCGATAGTAAGCTTCCCTTAAGTCTAGTTTAGAAAAAATTTTCCCTTTCGATAGGTGTGACAGCATGTCTTTCATGAGGGGCAGCGGGTATAGGTTGCTTTCACTGATTGTGTTCAGGGCCCTATAATCCACGCATAAACGTAAAGAGCCATCCTTCTTCTCTCTAAAAAGGACCGGGGCAGCCACTTTAGGCTTAGCTGGTTCAATGAAACCTCTCTCCAGGTTTTTTTTTATAAATCTTTCCATTTCCTCCTTCTCCTTTGGGCTCATGGAGTATAATCTGGGTTTCGGGAGTTTTGCCCCAGGCTTGAATTCAATGGTACAGTCTGTGGGTCGGTGGGGGGGAAGCTCATTCGCCCTCTCCTCACTGAAGACTTCAGCAAGGTCCCTATA